TTAAAAAAAAAAAAAAATCCACAGGCTACTTGATGATTCTAGTATGTCATATAATCATGCTAATATTTTAGGTCTGATCGGAGGGGAGGGGGGATGGGGTCACTGGGTGATGGCCATGAAGGAAGGCGCGTGATGTAATGAGCACTGGGTGTTATAGAAGACTGATGAATCACTGACCTCTGCCGCTGAAACCAATAATACATTATATGTTAATTAATTGAATTTAAATAAAAATATAGAAAAAAAGAAACAACAGACCCCCCCCAAATATTTTAAGTCTGATAATGGTTTTGTGGTTATACTAAAAAAATAAATAGGGACGCCTGGGTGGCTCAGTTAAGTGGCCAGCTCTTGGTTTCAGCTCAGGTCATGATCTCAGGGTCGTGAGATCGAGCCCCGCATCGGGCTCTGTGCTCAGCCCTGAATCTGCTTCAGATTCTCTCTCCTTCTCCCTCTCCTCCACCTCACTCCCTCTCAAATAAATAAATAAATAAAATCTTTTTAAAAAAGGGTACTTCCTTTTTAGCTACACATCCTACAGTAACTACAGATGAAGTTAAGAGGTGTCTGGGACTTGCTTCAAAATACCATGTGTGCATGTGTGTTGGGGCCATGGCATGGTAATTACTGAGGAAGGTAGACGGGGACCTGAGGGTCCATCCCACTACTGGCTCTGCTTTCATATATGCTCCAAAGTAGCCATAATAGTTGGGTTTTTTTTTTTTTAATTAGAAAGTAACTTCACAGTGGGGAAATCTGACAAAAACTCCCTCAGCCAGGTGGTCAAGGTCAACATCAATAGCGCTAAGTCCACAGCATGCACCTCTGAGATGGGACGAGAAGGGTACTTCACTTCTGCGGTCTTCTTCCCCCAGACCCAGAACCCCAGTTTACCCAACAGAAAAACATCAGACACACCCACACTGAGGGACATTTCACAAAATATCTATTGAAGACTTCTCAAAGCTGCCAAAGTCATGAAAAACAGAGGCTGAGAAATCGTCACAGACCAGAGAGGCTGAGAACATGATTCCTAAATGCCATGTGGGATCCTGGACGGGATGCTGGGTCAGAGAAAGGGTCTTAGGAGAAAAACTAGGGGCATCTGAACAAAGCCTGGAGTGTGGTGGTGAATGTAGCAACAAGGTTGGTTTCTCAGTCGTGACAAATGGACCATGACGGGTGATATTAACCACCAGGGACCAGGGCGGAGGAACTCTCTGGACTAGCTTTGCAACTCTTCTGTAAATCAAGCCTTAACCTATTCTAAAATAAACGCTTTACTAAAAAGTTCATGGACTCCACATCCCAGGGAAGTCACGACGTACTGTCCCGAGACAAAAGCTCGCTCTGGAGACCTGACATGGTAAAATCCCGTGTCTGTTAACGATGTCAAAAACCCCTTGATCCGGGTCTGTATGTGCGTGCCCAAGGAGAGGGGCCCGGAAGGACGGACACCAGGTGACCGTGGATGAGCTGCTCACAAGGGCCAGGAGGGCATCAGAGATGGGAGCGGGAAAGCAAGACCAAAGACCGTCGGGAAAACCACGGAGAATGCAGCCCGTCTGTGGCTCTAATAGGCAAAGACTAAACATGCGCACAGACAAGGTGGGTCACAGGGACCGACGACAGCACTGACTGGATGTGGAGAAGGGTTGATTTAGGTGAGGCAGGCTTGTCTTGGGTTTCTCTATTGTAAGGTAATTGCTGTAATAAAATGGTAGCAATGAGGACAAAGGAAAAAGGCTGCCCATTTCTGCAGATGACAAAGCGGAGACGCAAGGAGGTAGAGCCACGTGCCCAAAGTCACCCAGCCTGTGGGTGGCTGAGCCGGGACTCCTCATTCCAGGTCCAGTCTCTGGTCACAGACCCGGGGCTTCTGGGCTGGGTGAGTGGGGAACCAGGAAACGGAGGCCCTGAGGGGGGGCCCTCAGAAGTGACATGCCCCAGCTAGGGAGGCAGGCACAGGGGGCGCCAGGGTGGGGCTCCAGGGGTGGAGGGAGCAGACCGGGGCTCCCAGTTGCCCTGAGTTGAGCAGATGGCAAAGGGGAAGCCCCGGGCCCAGCGTAGCCTCTCCTGGTAGAAGAGCAAGGTGCCCTATCGGGACGCAAGGAGGCTGCTACCAATAGCTGAGGGGTGGGGTAGGGCTACAGGGGCTGGGGACCAGGAAGGACTCACCTGGACTCTAACCAGGACACCCCCACCCCAGGTCACCAGGCAGATGCCCACACTGTGCCCCCTCAGGCTGTGCCCTCCTTACTTACTTGACTTCCAGAGGCCCCGGGCACTTCTCCAGAGTCTCACAGAGGTGGGTGAGGCTCAGGGGCTCCAGCTGACAGTGCCTGAGGCTGAAAGGGGGCAGTGGGCCGGGCAGAGGGTCAGAGAGGGAGGGCCCAGGGCCCTTGTGCAGCCCCAGGGGCTCTCCCCTTCTCTCTCCACCCCTCCTCCTCAACCTCCAGGCTGCAGGATCCTCCCCTCACAGGGCACACTCTGCACCCCAAGTCTCCCCTACAGCCTGATCCCCACCACTCAGTGACAATAAAGGACCCCCAGTGCGCAGCTGCCCTCGCTCCATTCCAACACCTCCCCACTGCCCCTGCCTGAGTCTGGGCCACCACTGTCACTTGCCTGGACCACTTTAACACCCTTCAACTCCCCTCCTGCCTCCATGCGGTCCTTCTCCGCCTGCCAGTGGCTTATCTTTTAACAGTGCAGTCTGACCACGCCTCTTAGGCGCTTAAGCCCCCTGTGGCTCCCTATTACTCTCAGGCTAAAAGCGAAAGGCCTTTTCCATGGCCTCGCTCACCTCCACTGGCCCTGTACATGCCCCAGCCACGCTGACATGCTTCTCAAGAGCTAAGCTTTCCCTCCTCAGCTGACCCACCTGCCTGGGACAGTCCTCCCACTCCTCCTCTGGATAAGCCTGTTTGGGCCCCAGCCGAGGAGTCTTTCTTCCTAGGTAAGGAAATCAAGGCCCAGAGAGGGGAGGGGCCCAGCCATGGTCACACAGACATGGCAGAGCTGGGAAGTCTTCTGAGAAAACAGCATGGAATCTTTTCTCTGGGGAGAACGCTGGGCCCGGCAGCCCCCCTCACCAGCCCTCATACTGGCCCCCTTTCTTTTCCTTCTCTCGAACCCTCTTTCCCCCACTCTTCACCTGTATCGTGGTTACCCCCCAAAGAGAAGTGGATAAGACAGTACCAGAGGCTCCTGGGGACGTGGGGCTGACGAAAGGCCAAGAATTGGGCTCCAGCCGGGAACTCTGGCAAAGATCCACCAGCCAATTGATCCCTTGGAGTGGGGAGACCATTTCTGAGAGGAACGTTCACATCACGCACATGGGAAGACAAGACACAGAAGTCAGGGCTGAAGGGGGCCTAGGGACGATCCAGTCCCTCCCTGTACAGATGGGGAAACTGAGGCCCATGGAAGGGAAGTCAGAGTGAGAAAAGCCAGCAACTTACACCTGTCCGGGTGGCAGCACCTGGCTAGGACCGGGGGAGCCAGGACAGAGCCCTTCCTCTCTCTCATCATCCCCAGGCTTACATTCTCTAGGCTTTGAGAACCCAGAGAGTTCCCAGAAATGGAGACCCTGGCCCAGGATGCAAGACCACCCTGGCCTTGGGCCACTCCAGCTCCACACAGCCCGGCTGGTCTGGCAATGCTTTTCTCTGATACCTTAGCTAGCGGCCCCACTAGGGGGCAGCTGGGAACATCGGTGCAGAACTAACAATCTGTTGTTTACTGCAAAGGTGTGGAAACTTTTTCAGAACACAAACGGTCCTTGGCTTCTCGAACGCCGTACACTCCGAGTGTGAAGGGCGGTGACTCTTATGAAGTCGGGAGTCTGCAGAGGTCTGCAGAAGTCCTGAGGGGCAGAAGCCTAGCCGCCCTCCCTCCCACTCAGCAGCCCCGAGCGGGCACCTGTTCCGCCGCACTGCCCCCCCCATCTCCCTCCCCGGCTGCCCTGCCTCCTTTCCAGAGCTAAGCGGATGATTACTGCGAATGGAGGGACACAGGGGTACATCTGCAGAAGGGGGGCCAGACCTGGGTGGGCTACTCTAGGGCTAACAGTGGTCAGCACAGGGCTGGGGTTGGGGGGACCTGTAGGAAATGGAGGCCAGGGGAGAGGGGAGCCCATCCTTCCCCCCTCGGAGCTCTCCCTCCTCACCTGCCTGTTCTGTCACCTCTCAGGACGACGTGCTGGCTCTCAGAGCTGCAAACAGAGAGGAAGCAGCAGTCTGAGACAGACAGACAGACAGCCTGGTCATGGAGGGCCTGGAGGGCGGCCCACTTTCTCAGCAAATATAACAATATTCATACTAAGCATAATGACACGGACTGAAGCACATACAAAGCACAGCACTGCCGGGACCTCCTTTTATGCTCACGATAATGGTGTGAGGTAAGAACTGTTCTTACTCTTCCTTAACAGATGAGGAAATGGGTACAGAGAGGCTCAGTGACCTGCTCAAAGCTGCAGAGCAGCTAAGTGGTACGCCTGGATTTGAACCTGGTCTGTCTGTGCCCACACCTCCCACTCTTGGAAGGGGAAAGTGGGGGGAATGGGCAGACCCCACTGAAACCACGGCTCATCTGCTCGGCTTGGCCCCAGGCTGCCTGGCCAGGTGGCTTCCCTTCTAAATTCTCATCAGCTCCAGAGACCCCATGATCGAGACTGGTCCTCGAGCACTCAGCCACCATCAGGGAGCTTCCGGTTTCCGTAAAGGTCTCCCAGGACGATCCACAGAGTGAGCAAGGGAGAGTCGCTGGATCGTGTCCCATGTCAAACTTGGAGAGATGGGAGTGTCCTGGGGCTACTTTCATTCATCCGTCCATTCATTCATTCAGCAGACACCTGTCACACGCTCACGGGTCCTGGTGCCACGCAGGGCCCCGAGGAGGCGACACTGTGAACAGGACAGATGAGGAAGGTGGTGGGAGCCGATGGCCCGTGGGGTCAGAGGGCAGGGCAGGGGCCCAGAGGCACACTCACCTGATGTCCAAGTGGAGAAGCCACTGCAGAGTTGAGAAGCACGGGGTCAACATGAACACCGCATCCAGGGACAAACTGTTCTCACTGAGGCTGGACAATCACAGGGGTGACACTGATGGAACTCACCCGACTCAGAAACGCCCTCTTTGTGGTCAGAGCCCAGGGCAGGGGAGGGCTGTTCCTGAGTCCAGATGACAGAGCTCACTGAACCCCAAATGGCCAGAGGGCACCTCTTCTAACTCCCCATTGTACAGATGGGGAAACTGAGGCCCAAAAAAGCAGCAAGGTCTTGCCCAAGGTTATGAGACATGCTGACGACAGAGGTGAGATTAGAACTCTGGTTCTCTGGGTCTGCGATGAATCTGGAGAGTGCTTTCAGGCTGGAGTTGTGCCTCAGTTTCCCCACCTGATAAAAAGAAGGGCAGTGCCCAGAGCAAAATGAAAATGCAGGGGCTCCTGTTCAAAAGGCAGGGACAAAGCTTTGCCTTTCTTTCGGGCCTGTCAATCTGTCATAGTGTTTCCTATTCACCATGTAATGCTGCAGTCCTCTGGCCCAGGTATGGGTAGGTGAGCGAGGATCTCACAGGTTGGGGGGCTCAGACTACTTCACAGTATTGAGAAGGTCACATGGGGATTTGCCGCCAAGCACCAATCTACATATGATTTGCCTACAGTGGTGAGGCCTTCCTCCCTACCCACAAGCAGGCCCAGAACAGGAACAGAAGTAACCCCTTCTTCCTAGATGCCCCACGAAGACTGAGCAGGAAGGGCCCTCTGGCTCCAGCACTCATTCTATAGCTGTAGCCCAAACCAAAGCCCCCTCCCCCTTATATTTTAGGTGTTCCCTGGGAAGCCGGGGCCCAGAGAGGTGATGGAACTTGCCTAAGGTCACACAGAGAACCTAACAGTTGTGAGCTCTCTCCAGGGCTCCTCTCACTTTAGCCCCGAAGAGCTCAGAAGGACAAGAATATGTGGGAGCCCAAAACACAGGGGCCTTCTAGCATCCGGAAACTCTGGTCTGTTGCAGGCAAAGTCTGGAGGCTCCTGGTCTCCTCCCAGGGCCTCCCTCCCGCACTGAACATCTCCCCGCTCTCTGCTCTCCAGCTGCCCTGGGCACCCTGCTCGGGCATCTTGCCTGGTACACATCCTCCCTATCCAGCCTGTATCCTAGCAACAGCCCCTCCCTGCAACCCAGGGCCAGAAGGGCTGCCAGTCATTAGGTTAACTGACCGTTAGCTAACGCTTCCCGCCCATGCTTGCCCCGCCCCAGGTGGCCTGGGCCTCCCAGAGAGCCCATGCAGAGCCACAAAGTCAGGTTCAAGAAGTAAAACCTTAGGTCAGCAGCTGGATCACTGAGTCCCAGAGGCTCTCTCAATGAGACTCACAGCAGCTAACTACCCTTTGTGAGCACTTACCACGTGCCAGGAACTGGACCAGGTGACAGACATGCGTTTTCTGATTTAATCTTTACAATAACCCAGGAAGGAATGAGACAGGACACAGAACACCCCCTCCTCACCGCCCCCACCCGTCGTCCTGATGAGGACAAGCGTCAGAGGCTTTGTCTAGTTGGCTACTCACTCCAAGGACTGCAGAGGTCCCAGCCCTGGGAGCAGCTGGGCCAGCTGGGCTGCGCCTTCGTCCCCCAGAGCATTGCCTGAGAGGCTGGGAGGGGTGAAGGGGGAGAACAGGTTAGTGGAGGGTGGGCGTGGGGCCCGTAGGAACTCTGTGTCTCCACCCCTGGGAGACAGCTTCTCCTGAAACTGGCACCCGGCCCTGGGCTACCAGACCAGATCTCAGCAGATCTCACACGGGTCCGCTGGAGTTTCCCCCACACTTTCTATCCTGAGGTTTGTGACCTTTGGGGGTCGGGGAGGGGCTTCAGAGGGGGTCATATGTGGGGACGTGCATTTTAGGGGGAAGGGTCACAACCCTCCCCAGACTCTCTAAGGGGTTTCTTTTTCTTTTTTTTTTAAAGATTTTATTTATTTATTTGACAGAGAGAGACACAGTGAGAGAGGGAATACAAGCAGGTGGAATGGGAGAGGGAGAAGCAGGC